CTGGCTATCCTAATTGCAAGCTTAGCATTCAGCTCCTGAATTCTGCTTTTAATACTGGGAAGGGACAACTCCTCTCGTAGATTAGACGTTTTGGCAGTTCTTGGGACTCCAAGAATGATTGTCATGGCTTCATTTTGAATGCTTTCAAGCCTTTTCATATCGGTTTGGGAGTAGGTGCACAGTACTGGTGCGGCATAGTCTATGACGGAGCGCACATAGGCTGTGTACATCATTTTGAGCACGGCAATAGAGGCTCCATGTCCATTCCAGGTCATAGCTTTCAGTGCCCTGAGTCGACTTTTGCATGTTCCTATGAGTTGATTGAGCTCCTCTTTCTTTCCCTTGTTAGAGCCGACAGTGACGCCAAGGTACCGGTAGTGGTCAACCCATTCAAGTGTTAAACCATTAATTTGCAGTTCTTCATTTGCTCTCCGCTTGTGATGGGAGTATGCCTTCGCCTTGTTTGTGGAGAGAGTGAAACCGAGCTCAATACATTTCCTTCCGAGGAGTTCAATGGACTGTTCAATTTTTCCCAAGGTGGGAGCTTGTATTAGGACATCATCTGCATATCCATATCCCACTTGTTGTGTTCCTTCCGGAAAATCAATATTTGCAATGGCGTTCATAAGTACATTGAATAGTGTAGGGCTTAAGACTCCGCCTTGGGGGGTCCCGAGTTCCATACTCATTGTTCTGGAGACTGCTCCATTGAAGCAAACCTTGGCTTTCCTTCCTGTGAGGTAGTCTTCAACCCATTTCATGAGTCTCCCCTTGACACCCATGCATGCAAGCTCGTCCAGGATCGCAATCCCCTGTGCTTTGTCGAAGGCTCCTTTGATGTCAACAAATACAGAGTACCTAGCCGTGTCATTAACCAAGTAATTAACTATACAATTTGCTGTGCTCCGTCCTTTAACAAATCCATTGACCCCCTCCCCTAACCTGCCTATTTTGTGCAACAGTCGGTTTAGGATGATCCTTTCAAGCATCTTGCAAGTGCATGACACGAGGCTGATAGGTCTGTAATTACCAGGGTCATTAGGCTTCGGTATGGGAATAATTATTGCGTGTTTCCATTGTGTGGGCAACACTCCACTTAGGAATGACTTGTTAAACAGGTGGAGTAGTGGATTCCCAGACACTTCACACAGTGCATTGAGTATGTCGTAGGTGACGCCATCTTCACCAGGTGCTGTACTTTTACCCTTTTTCATAGCGCCCCTTACTTCTTGGGCTGTGATTGGTTCCCCATATTCGTCATCACTAGACAGTGCTCTTGTTTTCCTAATTCTTCTGTCATCATGTCGCAGGAGCTGTTCCCTGCTGATTTCTGCAGGGAGGGAGGAGGAGGATGCTGCATCACTCCACTTGTGAATTAGTTCCTCAGCCTTACCCTGGGGGTCTTTGTGAGCCGCAGGCCGGGCTCTGCCCCCCTTAGCTATCTGAATTTTTGCCCACACTTGTCTTGCAGATGTTTCCCGTCCAATAGAGCTAGTGAACTCAAGCCATTGTCTTTCCCGCTCTTTAATCTTCTCTTCCCTGGCTACTTGACACACTGTTTTAAACAACTCTTGGTTACTTTCAGTGGGATGTCTCCGGTACTCTCTACTCATGTCTCGCACATTTGCGTTAAGCATCTTTATGTAATCATTCTCATACCATTTTATTTTCTTCCTCTGAGGGTTACTTCGCCCAGGCGTACGGCGCGGAACTCTTAGACAGCTCTCAATTTGGTGGTTAAGGTCATCAACAAATGTGTTAATGTCTTCTGGGATTTGGTATTCCGTGAACCAGTCACTCATCCTGTTTATGAAGTGCGGCCTCATATCTGGTCCGAGTGATAACCTTTTTCTTTTATTTGTCTCTTTCCTTCTCTTGCTCATGTCGACGGTGGTAATCAGTGCCCAATGGTCACTACATAAACTGTGCACAATGTGTGTACTGGCATCCGTGTCCTGTGCATTCAGCAGGAGAGCATAATCTAATCTTCCTCCTCTGAGGTGAGTTGGCTGTTCATCACCCAGGACCCTAAGGTTTTCACTTCCCCTGACAAAGAGTGACAGTTTCCGTCCATTGACATTGGGCTGATGACAGTTGGCACCAAAGTGTGGGTGTCTGGCATTCAGGTCACCAACCAGCAGGGTAGGTTCTTCAATAACAAACTCAGGCAGTGCGTCAAGGTCAAGTTTACTCTGTGGCACATATAGGTTGATTATATGTAGAGCATTATTGTTTAAGTAAAGGGTTACCCCCAGTGATTCAAACTCATCCCCCATGTGCAGGTCATCAATAATCTGTGCGGGAATGTTGTTATTTACATAAGTGATGAGACCCCGTTTTCTTTCCCCATGTGGCAGGGAGAACTTGCGATAACCGCTGAACCTTGGGTTGAAGTCATCACCTACCATTGTCTCCTGTAGCACTATGACGTCGGTTTGGTGTTCACGAGCGTATTGTATGATGTCATTAATTCTATTGCGAACGCCATTGCAGTTCCATTGTAGGATAGTGAGACTTTCTTCAGCATGGTTATCCATTGTGGAGGTGTTGGTCATCAGATGTACTGCGTGCAGTGGTGTTGCTGGTGAGTGTGTGTTCACTGGTGGTGTTGTATGTGGTGTTGCACCGCCGTCATGTGCTGGTGGTACTGTTTGTATGGGTGCCAGTGGTCAATGGTGTTGTGTACACTAGTGTCGTTGTGTTCACTGGTGGTGCTGTTGTCTTCACTGGTGGTGTTGCGTTCACTGCGTTCACTGGTGGTGCTGTTGGTGGTGTTGTGTTCACTGGTGGTGGTGTGTTCACTGGGTCGCACTGAGTTCACTTGGGTAGCACTGAGTCTGCTGTTATGTGCCGTGGCTCGTGTTGCATCCCCATGCACCAAGTTGCAACCTGCTGAACTCGCCTGAGGCAACTTCAGGCCCTGCAGAATGTGAAGTATGTCCTCCTGGGTCTTCTGGATTGTACATAGGGTATTCTCAAGTTTATTTTGCTTGCTTATTAGTTCTTGCATGAGTGGGTGATTTTTTATCATGTGGTTAATCATTGCTTCCATATCGGGCGGCATTGTTTTATCTGGATCCAGTGAGGTGTTGACTGGTGAGTGGGGAGGGGAGTGGTAGGGTGGGGGAAAGGGAGGGTCGCCTGAGAGGCGGAAGGGCTGGTTGACTGGGAGGCGTTAGGGGGTATGGGTGATGAGGCAGGAATGGTGTTGTTGGGTGGGGTAGAGTTGGGGTTAGTGAGGGAGATGAGGTTGGGGTTAGTGAGTGGGGTTGAGGTAAGTTGGTTTGTGACAGAAATGGGGTCTGGTTGGGCATGTGCGGGGTGGTGGTGGGTCACTCCACCACTACCCCAGGCTGGTGTCTGCCTACTGGAGGCTGGACCCTGGCTTGCTGTGGTACTGTTCACGGAGCCATTCCCGCCCCTGTTTACTGGTCCACCTGCTGTCTGCGTCTGCGTCGGCGTCCTTCTCAAGCCCTGCCAGTCAGGCCTCCTGCTGCAATATCTGTTCCAGGCATGGTGGGCCTGCTTGCAGTTGACACATTTAGGTACTACCCCGCTACCCCCACCCTGTTTAAGCTTGTCCAGACACTGCTTGGTGTCGTGAGAGCCACTGCAACACCCACACCTAATTGGGCGATCACATTGCCACGTTCTGTGATCCCACCGTTGACAGTTGCCACACAAGGACGGGCTGCCAATATACCTCTCCACTTTGCACGCCCTCATGCCTGGCATTTTAATGACTTGGGGCAGCTCTCCCTTCCACATAGCAATTGCTTGATTTTTGGGCAGTCCCCCTGGTCCAGTGTTGCGCTCGACCCAAACAATCTCGGTATAGTCCTTGAGATATTTCACGTCAACATGAATGCTATAGTTCTTAATTATAATTTTAGTTTGTCTTGTCTGTGGGTTTGCTTCTAATAATTTGACATTCTTACCTAGATACTCGAGACTGGTCTCTGTGAAGTACTTCAGGGCACTGTAACCCTGCACCCGTGCACTAACATTGCCACCTACACACCTGCTCTCTATACAATACTTTCCTCTGTGGGCGCGGGCGGCCTCAATAATCCATCTAAACTTCTCTGATGCTGTCATTACCCCTGCAGGAAAGATTAGGGTGTGCCACTCACTGTCTTCGTCGTGTCGTCGTCGTTGTTGTTGTTGTTGTTGTTGCTGAGGTTGCTGTTGCTGCTCATCCTGTCGCCGTGACTTATCCCGTTTCCTGCCACTTCTACCTTGGACTACTTGGAAACCTTCATCGTCTATTGTAGAGTCTCCTGTATCAGTACTGTTGGAGGGCCCAGGGCTGGGATCCCGACCGGAGGGCCCCTGGCGGGGATGGGGGTCGTTATGGTTCCGGGTACACCAGCCATGGTCACTTGTTGTTGTTGTCTCTTAGAAGTCTTACTTCTCGTGTCAACCATCTATTTGCTGCGGCTCACTTCATGTGTTGTTGGGTGGTATGTCTTCAACACTGCACTCTGCCCTACGTACGCACACATGTACATATATACACCTACAAGGTACAAGGTTTACACTCACACGTAGTGTAGGGGTACTCTATGGTGTGCCCTGGCAGTCTCTTGTGTAAACACACTAGTCGCGCACACAGACCACGACCTTGGGTAGGGAGGGCACAAAGGCTATTTTTCACGTGCGTGGGGCCCCAGGCTTCAGGTACCGCGAGGCGGCCCAACCTACGTCAGAACTCCTACCTCACAACTTCCCCTCAGCAGGCCTCGATATTGCCACATTAACAATTGCTGCCTTAATTTCTGGCCAATCCACACGTCTAGGGCCTACCACAGTTGGTAGGAGGGGCGGTGCACACTTAGTGCCTCTGTAGCTGATCTACTTGGCGCACTGAAGACTAGACCTTAGGCCTAGGCCTATGTCAAACAGGAGGATGGATACATCCTGCCTGCTCCTCCTCTAGCTTGAGGACAACTGGGTGAATAATTACCATGCTGGATGACGAAGTGCTCCGTAATAATTACCATGCTGGATGACGAAGTGCTCCGTAATAATTACCATGCTGGATGACGAAGTGCTCCGTCGTCGCCTCCCACGTGGTGATTCACTAATCCAGTAGATTGATGATGGCAGTTTTTCTCTATCTAACACAATTCTCTGGAGTCAGTCACTGTATCGGTGTGTCTGTTGTGTTACAGTTCACCAATTCACTGTACCACAGATCACTTGACCCAATATGTAAACAAAGCCTCGTGGGCCCTCCACGTGGCCTGTCTGGTGAATTCATTGTTTAACACAAAGTTCTAGAGATACCACTCTATTTTTTCTTTCTTATAAGCGGAGGTTATACACTTTGTGATACCTCATGATCTGTGATTTGTCACTGTAGCCTTAATTAACCCAAAAATATTGGCGTTTATTGTAGAGCGTGACCCTAGCGACCCTCCCATGCGGCTGGCTCTGTGTGTGTGTGTGTGTGTGTGTGTGTGTGTGTGTGTGTGTGTGTGTGTGTGTGTGTGTGTGTGTGTGTGTGTGTGTGTGTGTGTGTGTGTGTGTGTGTGTACTCACCTCACCTAGTTGTACTCACCTAGTTGTGTTTGCGGGGGTTGAGCTCTGGCTCTTTGGTCCCGCCTCTCAACCGTCAATCAACAGGTGTACAGATTCCTGAGCCTATCGGGCTCTGTCATATCTACACTTGAAACTGTGTATGGAGTCAGCCTCCACCACATCACTTCCTAATGCATTCCATTTGTCAACCACTCTGACACTAAAAAGTTCTTTCTAATATCTCTGTGGCTCATTTGGGCACTCAGTTTCCACCTGTGTCCCCTTGTGCGTGTTCCCCTTGTGTTAAATAGACTGTCTTTATCTACCCTATCAATCCCCTTCAGAATCTTGAATGTGGTGATCATGTCCCCCCTAACTCTTCTGTCTTCCAGCGAAGTGAGGTTTAATTCCCGTAGTCTCTCCTCGTAGCTCATACCTCTCAGCTCGGGTACTAGTCTGGTGGCAAACCTTTGAACCTTTTCCAGTTTAGTCTTAGCCTTGACTAGATATGGACTCTATGCTGGGGCTGCATACTCCAGGATTGGCCTGACATATGTGGTATACAAAGTTCTGAATGATTCTTTACACAAGTTTCTGAATGCCGTTCGTATGTTGGCCAGCCTGGCATATGCCGCTGATGTTATCCGCTTGATATGTGCTGCAGGAGACAGGTCTGGCGTGATATCAACCCCCAAGTCTTTTTCCTTCTCTGACTCCTGAAGAATTTCCTCTCCCAGATGATACCTTGTATCTGGCCTCCTGCTCCCTACACCTATCTTCATTACATTACATTTGGTTGGGTTAAACTCTAACAACCATTTGTTCGACCATTCCTTCAGCATGTCTAGGTCTTCTTGAAGCCTCAAACAGTCCTCTTCTGTTTTAATCCTTCTCATAATTTTGGCATCGTCTGCAAACATTGAGAGAAATGAATCGATACCCTCCGGGATATCATTTACATATATCATAAACAAGATAGGACCAAGTACAGAGCCCTGTGGGACTCCACTGGTGACTTCACGCAAATCGGAGGTCTCACCCCTCACCGTAACTCTCTGCTTCCTATTGCTTAGATACTCCCTTATCCACTGGAGCACCTTACCAGCTACACCTGCCTGTCTCTCCAGCTTATGTACCAGCCTCTTATGCGGTACTGTGTCAAAGGCTTTCCGACAATCCAAGAAAATGCAGTCTGCCCAGCCCTCTCTTTCTTGCTTAATCTTTGTCACCTGATCGTAGAATTCCATCAAGCCTGTAAGGCAAGATTTACCCTCCCTGAATCCATGTTGGCGATTTGTCACGAAGTCCCTTCTCTCCAGATGTGTTACCAGTTTTTTTCTCACGATCATCTCCATCACCTTGCATGGTATACAAGTCAAGGACACTGGCCTGTAGTTCAGTGCCTCTTGTCTGTCGCCCTTTTTGTATATTGGGACCACATTCGCCGTCTTCCATATTTCTGGTAGGTCTCCCGTCTCTAGTGACTTACTATACACTATGGAGAGTGGCAAGCAAAGTGCCTCTGCACACTCTTTCAGTACCCATGGTGAGATTCTATCTGGACCAACAGCCTTTCTAACATCCAGATCCAGCAGGTGTCTCTTGACCTCCTCTCTCGTAATTTCGAACTCCTCCAAGGCCGCCTGGTTTACCTCCCTTTCTCCCAGCACAGTGACCTCACCCTGTTCTATTGTGAAGACCTCCTGGAACCTCTTGTTGAGTTCCTCACACACCTCTCTGTCATTCTCTGTATAACTGTCCTCGCCTGTTCTAAGTTTCAATACCTGTTCTTTCACTGTTATTTTCCTTCTGATGTGACTGTGGAGTAGCTTTGGTTCGGTCTTGGCTTTGTTTGCTATATCATTTTCAAAATTTTTCTCTGCTTCTCTTCTCACCCTGACGTACTCATTCCTGGTTCTCTGGTATCTCTCTCTGCTTTCTGGTGTTCTGTTATTCCGGAAGTTCCTCCACGCCTTTTTGTTCAGTTTCTTCGCTTCCATACATGCCCTATTATACCATGGATTCTTCTGTTGCTTCTCGGATTTTTCCCTTTGGGCCGGGATGAACCTGTTTACTGCCTCTCTGACACTTTTGGGTAACATAGTCCATCATTCCCTGTACAGACTTGTCTCTGAGGTCTGTGTCCCAAGGTATTTCACTTAGGAAACTTCTCATCTGTTCATAATTCCCCTTTCGGTATGCCAGCCTTTTGATTCCTAGTTCTTTTTGGGGGGAGATAAGTCCTAGTTCTACCAGGTACTCAAAGTTCAATACACTGTGGTCACTCATTCCCAAGGGAGCTTCCATCTTAACTTCCCTTATATCCCATTCATTTAGGGTAAATATCAAATCAAGCAATGCTGGTTCATCTTCTCCTCTCATTCTTGTTGGTTCTTTGGTGTGCTGGCTTAGAAAGTTTCTTGTTGCCACGTCCAGCAGCTTAGCTCTCCATGTTTCTGGTCCTCCATGCGGGTCTCTGTTCTTCCAATCTATCTTCCCATGGTTGAAGTCTCCCATAATTAGTAGTCCAGATACATTCCTGCTAGCAACAGAAGCTGCTCTTTCTATTATGTTAATGGTGGCCATGTTGTTTCTATCACATTCCTGTCTAGGTCTTCTGTCATTTGGTGGTGGATTATATATGACTGCGACTATAATTTTTTTCCCTCCATTTGTTACAGTACCTGCTATGTAGTCACTGAAACCTTCACATCCCTGAATATCCATCTCCTCAAAATCCCAGCCTTTTCTTACCAGCAGAGCTACACCACCCCCACCTCTTCCTTCCCTCTCTTTCCTCACAACATAATAGTCCTGTGGGAACACTGCATTTGTTATCGTTTTCGTGATCTTTGTTTCTGTGAGGGCTATTATGTCTGGGTTTTCCTCTAGTACCAGTTCTCCAAGCTCATTTGCTTTATTTGTAATTCCATCTATGTTAGTGTACATCGCTTTGAGGCTCACTTTCTTCTGTCCCTTCTCAAATCGCCTCCTTGGTGAGTGTTCTGCTGGTGGGGGAGGCTGTTCCATGGGTGTGAGGACCTGTGAGGTGGATAACAGGGTCTCAGAGGATACTGGGATGAGGGGCGGGGGATCCAGTGAAGGGGTAGGGACAGAGAGGGTATGGGGTGAAAGGGGAGGGAGGACGGGAAGGAAAGGGGGGGAGGGAGGATTCGGGAGGAGGGGAGGGGTAGAAGGGTGGGGATTGGGTGTGGGAGGAGGGAGATTTGGCTGAACATTTGAGTGGGGGCAGGGAGGGTTTGGGGTAGGGGGGGAGAGGAGACCTATGCAGAGGAGGGAGGCGGGGTTGTCCTCCCTTCTGGTGTTACTGGGTAGCTGGTTGTGGGTTCCCCCCTCGCCTCTGGGGGTGTTGTGTTGGGAGCTGTGACTTCCTGGTTTTCCCCTCTCGCCCTGTGCCTCTTCCTTGCTTCTGCCGCCACGGCTCTCTCCTCCCTTGTCATGTCTCTCTGGAGGAATACATTTTTTAATTTTCCCACGTTTTTCAGGGAGCTCTTCCTTGATAGGATCTTCTCCTTTGTGTTCTCGTTTGCAAACACTTTCTTTATCATTCGGTCTCGGTCTTTGTTGTACCGGCCTAGCCTGAAAACCTTCTCAATGCTATGCTCAGCCCCTTCCATGTCTAGTGCCTTTAGTACTTAATTCACTGCTGCTTTGTCCTTGTCATTCCACTTGTCATTCTGTGTGTGTGTGTGTATAGTGGTGTGGTGTAGTAGCCTGTTATAGTGTAGTACCCTGGTATAGTGGTGTGGTGTAGTAACCTGGTATAGTGTAGTACCCTGGTATAGTGGTGTGATGTAGTAGCCTGGTGTAGTGTAGTAGCCTGGTGTAGTGTAGTACCCTGGTATAGTGGTGTGATGTAGTAGCCTGGTGTAGTGTAGTAGCCTGGTGTAGTGTAGTACCCTGGTATAGTGGTGTGATGTAGTAGCCTGGTGTAGTGTAGTAGCCTGGTGTAGTGTAGTACCCTGGTGTAGTAGGTGTGGTGTAGTGGTGTGGTGTAGTACCCTGGTATAGTGGTGTGGTGTAGTAGCCTGATATAGTGGTGTGGTGTAGTAGCCTGGTATAGTGGTATGGTGTAGTAGCCTGGTATAGTGGTGTGGTGTAGTAGCCTGGTGTAGTGGCATGGTGTAGTAGCCTGGTATAGTGGTGTGGTGTAGTAGCCTGGTATAGTGGTGTGGTGTAGTAGCCTGGTGTAGTGGCATGGTGTACTAGCCTTGTGTAGTGGTGTGGTGTAGTAGCCGGGTATAGTGGTGTGGTGTAGTACCCTGGTACAGTGGTGTGGTGCAGCCTGGTATAGTGGTGTGGTGTAGTAACCTGGTATAGTGGTGTGGTGTCGTTCCCTGGTAGTGGTGTGGTGTAGTACCCTGGTATAGTGGTGAGGTGTTGTAACCTGGTGTAGTGGTGTGGTGTACCCTGGTATAGTGGTGTGGTGTAGTACCCTGGTATAGTGGTGAGGTGTTGTAACCTGGTATAGTGGTGTGGTGTCGTTCCCTGGTAGTGGTATGCTGTAGTAGCCTGGTATAGTGGTGTGGTGTAGTACCCTGGTGTAGTGGTGTGGTGTAGCCTAGTATAGTGGTGTGGTGTAGTAGCCTGGTATAGTGGCGTGGTGTAGTGGCATGGTGTAGTAGCCTGGTTTAGTGGCGTGGTGTACTACCCTGGTGTAGTGGTGTGGTGTAGTAGCTTGGTGTAGTGGTGTGCAGTAGCCTGGTATAGTGGTGTGTAGTAGCCTGGTATAATGGTGTGGTGTAGTAGGCTGGTGTAGTGGTGTGGTGTGGTACCCTGGTATAGTGGTGTGGTGTAGTACCCTGGTATAGTGGTGTGGTGTAGTGACCTGGTATAGTGGTGTGGTGTAGTAGCCTGGAGTAGTGGCTTGGTGTGGTACCCTGGTATAGTGGTGTGGTGTAGTACCCTGGTATAGTGGTGAGGTGTTGTAACCTGGTATAGAAGTGTGGTGTAGTAGCCTGGTGTAGTGGTGTGGTGTAGTAACCTGTTATAGTGTAGTACCCTGGTATAGTGGTGTGGTGTAGTAACCTGGTGTCCGGGGGACACCGTCACTCTCCGGGGGAAAATGTCACTCTCCGGGGGACACTGTCACTCTCCGGGGTGACACTGCCACTGTCCGGAGGACACTGTCACTGTCACTCTCCAGGGGACACCGTTACTTTCTGGGGGACACTGTCACTGTCACTCTCCGAGGACACTGTCCCTATCACTCTCCGGGGGACACCGTCACTGTCACTCTCCGGGGGACACAATCACTGTCACTCTCCGGGGGACACCGTCACTGTCACTCTCCGGGGGACACTGTCACTCTCCGAGGAACACCGTCACTGTCACTCTCCGGGGGACACGGTCACTGTCACTCTCCGTGGGACACTGTCACACTCCGGGGGACACTGTCACTGTCACACTCCGGGGGACACCGTCACTGTCACTCTCTGGGGGACATTGTCACTCTCCGTGGGACACCGTCACTGCCACTCTTTGGGGGACACTGTCACTCTCTGGGTGACACTGTCACTGTCACTCTCCGGGGGACACCGTCACTGTCACTCTCCGGGAGACACTGTCACTCTCCGGGGGACACTGTCACCGTCACTCTCCGGGGGACATCGTCACTGTCACTCTCCGGGGACACTGTCCCTTTCACTCTCCGGGGACACTGTCACTCTCCGGGGACACTGTCACTGTCACTCTCCGGGGGACACTGTCACTGTCACTCTCCGGGGGACACTGTCACAGTCACTCTCCGGGGGACAGCGTCACTCTCCGGGGACACCGTCACTCTCCGGGGGACACTGTCACTGTCACTATCCGGGGGACACCGTTACTCTCTAGGGGGACACTGTCACTCTCCGGGGGACACTGCCACTGTCACTCTCCGGGGGACACTGTCACTCTCCGGGGGACACTGCCACTGTCACTCTCCGGGGGACACTGCCACTGTCACTCTCCGGGGGACACTGCCACTGTCACTCTCCGGGGGACACTGCCACTGTCACTCTCCGGGGGACACTGTCACTGTCACTCTCCGGGGGACACTGCCACTGTCACTCTCCGGGGGACACTGCCACTGTCACTCTCCGGGGGACACTGTCACTGTCACTCTCCGGGGGACACTGCCACTGTCACTCTCCGGGGGACACTGCCACTGTCACTCTCCGGGGGACACTGCCACTGTCACTCTCCGGGGGACACTGCCACTGTCACTCTCCGGGGGACACTGCCACTGTCACTCTCCGGGGGACACTGTCACTGTCACTCTCCGGGGGACACTGCCACTGTCACTCTCCGGGGGACACTGCCACTGTCACTCTCCGGGGGACACTGCCACTGTCACTCTCCGGGGGACACTGCCACTGTCACTCTCCGGGGGACACTGTCACTGTCACTCTCGGGGGGACACTGTCACTGGTATGTCGCTGCCTTTTTCAAGTCGGTTATGGGGGTCATTGTGCAATGGGCTTCGTTGTCGGCTAACAATCGTGGATCCCATGTCCGGCAGAAATGGCCGAGCACGTTTCCTTTCATCTTATGTTTCTATTCACCAAGTAGCAAATAGGCACACGGCAGTTAGTCAACTGTTGTGGGGTTGCATCCTGGGGAGGCTCAGTAGTTCTATTTGGGGAAGACCTCGATATTTGCTGAAAGAGAGTATATATACACTGGCTCTCTGTCCTAGACAAAATAAATTAATCAAGGGTGATAAAGAAACATGAATCTGTGGGAATACAACCCGTCCTCTTAAAAATAAAGTCGCCTTTGGCTCGTATTCGCGCTATGGCCAACATTTTTTTATTTTATATAGATTATGTCTACTTTCAGCCATACGGGCAAACGGCCAAAAGCGACGTTATTTTTAAGAGGACAGGTTGGGAATGGGTCCCAGGACCCTCTATATAAAGGACAGGCGGAAGAAATGTAAATTTAGAAATAATATTGTAAAGGAAATGTTTGGAAATATTGTCGTTGATTAGAATAGGTTGTCCGCTACCACAACACAAGTAACAGGTTCCTGGAATAGGTGGGATTGGTATATGGGCGAGTGTGGGCGTAGTTAAACTGGACCCCCTAATATATGGGTGAGCGTGGGAGGGGTTAAACAGGACCCCCTAGTATATGGGTGAGCGTGGGAGGAGTTTATCAGGACTCCCTATTATATGGGTGAGCGTGGGAGGAGTTAAACAGGACCCCCTAGTATATGGGTGAGCGTGGGCGTAGTTAAACTGGACCCCCTAGTATATGGCTGAGCGTGGGAGGGGTTAAACAGGACCCCCTAGTATAAGGGTGAGCGTGGGAGGAGTTAAACAGGACCCCCTAGTATATGGGTGAGCGTGGGAGGAGTTAAACAGGACCCCCTAGTATATGGGTGGGCGTGGGGGGAGTTAAACAGGACCCCCTAGTATATGGGTGAGCGTGGGAGGAGTTAAACAGGACCCCGTAGTATATGGGTGGGCGTGGGGGGAGTTAAACAGGACCCCCTAGTATATGGGTGGGCGTGGGGGGAGTTAAACAGGACGCCTATTATATGAGTGAGCGTTGGAGGAGTTAAACAGAACCCCGTAGTGTATGGGTGATTGTGGGAGCAGTTAAACAGGACCCCTTAGTGTATGGGTGATTGTGAGAGGAGTTCGCGTCGCCTCACGTAAACGCGGGTTTGCGTGAGGCGATGCGTGTATGCGATTAAGCCCGATACTCTACCACTGTACCACCGTGTCTTGCTAATAATTTTTCTACTGATTTCTACTGAAATCAAAGTAAGTTTAGAGGTCCCTCCTGAAGCCTGTCCAAGATTTACTCAAGACCTTCAAGCACTCGGGCGATGGGAAACGTTCTTTCAGGAAGGGCCCCCCAGACTGCCTGTGATTTCAGTAGAAATTTTGTTTTAAGACATTTGGTAAGACCCGGTGGTAGAATGGTAGAGTATGCGGCTGGCAATGCCGTGGTCGTGGGTTCGTGTCGCCTCACAGCCCCTGTGGATTGTTTTCATTGGCCAAATACTAAGTTCTTTTCTATCAAACAAAGTGTTGAAGTACTTTATTAGAGTACTTCTCATTTCTTTGATACTAAACGTTACTTGACCAAGCGCGTTTCTCTAACGACCAGTCATCTCACAAGTCTTTGTTTGGAATGTCTGAGAGAACCATTTGGAGTTTATTTTTGCCAGCTGGGATATTCGCTCTTCATAAATTCTTGTTGTTTTTCTAACATTCTTGTTAACTGTTCTCGATATTATGATAAATTGTTGGTCGGGATATCCTTACCTATTTTTAATGTGTTTTTATGTAGCTTTCTTTTTTTTCTGGTGAGATGCTTTACCAACGTCACTACCAACTTTACTTTACCGACTTCGATTTTACTTTAAAATCACTACGTTACCAACGTCACTAAACTGTTGTACTAAACTGTCTGTACCTAACCTACGAATGCATCATTATCACACTCTTGTCACGTCCAAAGTGTGCTGGCATGTCATCACACACTGGACTCGTGTCACGTCCAAAGTGTGTTGGCATGTCACAACACACTGGACTCGTGTCACGTCCAAAGTGTGTTGGCATGTCACAACACACTGGACTCGTGTCACGTCCAAAGTGTGCTGGCATGTCACAACACACTGGACTCGTGTCACGTCCAAAGTGTGCTGGCATGTCACAACACACTGGACTCGTGTCACGTCCAAAGTGTGCTGGCATGTCACAACACACTGGACTCGTGTCACGTCCAAAGTGTGCTAGCAGGTCACAACACACTGGACTCGTGTCACGTCCAAAGTGTGCTGGCATGTCACAACACACTGGACTCGTGTCACGTCCAAAGTGTGCTAGCAGGTCACAACACACTGGACTCGTGTCACGTCCAAAGTGTGCTGGCATGTCACAACACACTGGACTCGTGTCACGTCCAAAGTGTGCTGGCATGTCACAACACACTGGACTCGTGTCACGTCCAAATTGTGCTGGCATGTCACAACACACTGGACTCGTGTCACGTCCAAAGTGTGCTGGCATGTCACAACACACTGGACTCGTGTCACGTCCAAAGTGTGCTAGCATGTCACAACACACTGGACTCGTGTCACGTCCAAAGTGTGCTGGCATGTCACAACACACTGGACTCGTGACACGTCCAAAGTGTGAGAGAGTTTCACGTGTTCGTTAAGAGTGCAATATGAGTGCACTCGTGAAATAGTCAACGTGGATTCTCCAGAGCTCACACGCAAGAGTGCAAGCGGTCAACGGATTTATGATGATCTTGTGGCATATTCCTGGATAGTCTTGTGGGATATTCCTGGATAGTCTTGTGGGATATTCCTGGATAGTCTTGTGGGATATTCCTGGATAGTCTTGTGGGATATTCCTGGATAGTCTTGTGGGATATTCCTGGATAGTCTTGTGGGATATCCCTGGATAGTCTTGTGGGATATTCCTGGATAGTCTTGTGGGATATCCCTGGATAGTATTGTGGGATATCCCTGGATAGTATTGTGGGATATCTCTGGTTAGTATTGTGGGATATCCCTGGATAGTGTTGTGGAATATCCCTGGATAGTCTTGTGGGATATCCCTGGATAGTGTTGTGGAATATCCCTGGATAGTCTTGTGGGATATCCCTGGATAGTCTTGTGGGATATCCCTGGATAGTCTTGTGGGATATCTGGACAATCTTGTGGGATATTCCTGGATAGTCTTGTGGGATATCTTTGGATAGTCTTGTGGGTTATCCCTGGATAGGCTATGAGATGGAGCAGTCGAATGGCATTACAATGGATGTTACAAGCGTAATGAAGAAGTGAGCTGCCACGAGATATTTTGCAAGTCGTCATGAGAATTCATTATTCTGGAGCCAGAATATGTGCGAGGAGGCAGAGTAAAGTGTTAAGGTGAGGCCAGAGCAAGGCTCGCCTGGCCCTGATCGATCAGGTCCCCCCTCCCTCAACCGTCTCGGCCAGTTTCGACTCATCACTAGCTGTCATGTATGACGATCTGTGATTGGCTAAGCATTTTTACTTACTCGTTCCCTGTTAGATTAGGCATAAGTCGATGCTTGGACGTAGGCCGGCCAAGCCAAGTGTGAGTGTCCCAGCGTCATTCTGAACCAGGAGTCCGATGTGGTGGGAGGTGCTCATCTAGTAGTCACTCCAGGAAGACTGATCAAGTTACGTCCTTGAGCTCAGGTTATCGTCGTCTTCCTCTCAGACTCGTGCCACGAGCATACCTTAGACTCAAAGTAGTCGTCCTTGAGCTCAGGTTATTGTCGTCCTCCTCTCAGACTCGTGCCACGAGCATACCTTAGACTCAAAGTAGTCGTCCTTGAGCTCAGGTTATCGTCGTCCTCCTCTCAGACTCGTGCCACGAGCATACCTTAGACTCAAAGTAGTCGTCCTTGAGCTCAGGTTATTGTCGTCCTCCTCTCAGACTCGTGCCACGAGCATACCTTAGACTCAAAGTAGTCGTCCTTGAGCTCAGGTTATCGTCGTCCTCCTCTCAGACTCGTGCCACGAGCATACCTTAGACTCAAAGTAGTCGTCCTTGAGCTCAGGTTATTGTCGTCCTCCTCTCAGACTCGTGCCACGAGCATACCTTAGACTCAAAGTAGTCGTCCTTGAGCTCAGGTTATTGTCGTCCTCCTCTCAGACTCGTGCCACGAGCATACCTTAGACACAAAGTAGTCGTCCTTGAGCTCAGGTTATCGTCGTCTTCCTCTCAGACTCGTGCCACTAGCATACCTTAGACACAAAGTAATCGTCCTTGAGCTCAGGTTATCGTCGTCTTCCTCTTAGACTCGTGCCACGAGCATACCTTAGACACAAAGTAGTGTTAGTGAGAGAGAATAACAATTGGTTGCAATAAGGCAGGCAAGAGATCATAGAATGGCAGGCCGACAAAGGCTGTCATGCTGTGAGCAGCGTGAAGTAAGGCGAGAGACACTGAGAGGTGGTCAAGACCTGGCGGCAGGTGGATGGTTTACAGTTTATTAAGGCCAGAACTGTGGCCCGGAGGCGTCTTGTCTGATGACCAGGCAACTCGGGAGGTGGTGATCAGCCTTTATCATCACTTAAGTCCATCTCTGCTGCTCTTCCCAATATCGGAAGCTGTCCAACTCACCTTCGATCTGGGAGACGTCATTACATCAGTGACCTGAACTATGACCAAAGTGAGAACATATTCTTTGGAAAAAAGTAGTGAACCGAGACTCAACATACTCTCAAAAACAGATAAAACCTCAAAAGTAGAGTCGAAATATATAAATGGAGCTCGAGTGTAATCATCACAGCAACAGATGTCCCAACTCCAGATGAATACAAATATACTCTGATCATAAATGGTAATGGTGTCTGCATCATATTCATCTCGTGCTGGCGTCTCATTAACTCATCAAAACAAAAAGTCTCTATTAAATATGATTCTTTCTAGCAACTAATAACCATTATATCATGTGTACCACTGCATCATGTTATCTATTGTATCATGTTATTTAATGTATCATGTTATCTAATTGACCATGCAGTTTACTTTATCATGTTCTTTTGTATTTATTTTATATTATAACTTGGATTGCCTATTGGCAGCCTGAGAACATTAACTTCAACACAGTTTTGTAGATTCGTAACCTAGAGAAATCCACACTATCTGTTCCATCTAGCGTCATACCACCATGAAGAAGCGCCACAGTTGTATGGATCCTCCTAGAGACTCATATGAGCATTCATTTAAGCCCCATAACTCGACGTTTGGTTCATCCCACAGCGCCAGTTCTGCTTACCAAAAATGGCCCACTTAGTAAGATTAGTAGCCGAAACTTCAACATTCAAGCAAGCCAGGCATCTCACCCATTTAAAGTTTTTGATATATATATATATATATATATATATATATATATATATATATATATATATATATATATATATATATATATATATATATATATATATGCGGAAAATCCACAGAGAAATATGAAATGAGGTGAACGTTTCGGCTTTGTTAAAGCCTTTGTCAACACCAGACTCAGTGAGTCTGGTGTTTGTCAACACCAGTGAGTCTGGTGTTGACAAAGGCTTTAACAAAGCCGAAACGTTCACCTCATTTCATATTTCTCTGTGGATTTTCCGCATAAAATGATCAGTGTTTTGTGATCGTCAATTGCATATATATATATATATATATATATATATATAACTGAAAACTCACACCCCAGAAGTGACTCGAACCCATACTCCCAGAAGCAACGCAACTGGTATGTACAAGACGCCTTAATCCACTTGACCATCACGACCGGACAAAATGAGGTGATAGCCGAGGCTATTTGAACCACCCCACCGCCGGCACTCGGATAGTTATCTTGGGCATAGCATTTTACCAAATCACCTCATTCTTAGGGGCACACGTGAGGAACACAAAGGCTTTGTGTTCCTCACGTGTGCCCCTAAGAATGAGGTGATTTGGTAAAATGCTATGCCCAAGATAACTATCCGAGTGCCGGCGGTGGGGTGGTTCAAATAGCCTCGGCTATCACCTCATTTTGTCCGGTCGTGATGGTCAAGTGGATTAAGGCGTCTTGTACATACCAGTTGCGTTGCTTCTGGGAGTATGGGTTCGAGTCACTCTGGGGTGTGAGTTTTCAGTTGCATATTGTCCAGGGGACCATTCTGGCTTGTTCGCATATATATATATATATATATATATATATATATATATATATATATATATATATATATATATATATATATATATATATATATATATATATATATATATATGTATATTGGCAGCAGGTTTTCTTTCAAACATGTTTCATTGAATATGACCGCATATTCTGTACTTATTATTTTCTGGTTTAGGGCTTTTATCCCTCTAACTATTTTCTTAGCATCAGGGCTTAATTGAAATAGGAGTTCTCCAAAACTCATTTTCGTACTTTTAAGGTGAAGAAAAGAAGTGATTTACTATAGAGTGTATTACACTTATTTGTATAATTTGCACAACGTTTCGAACCTCCATGGTTCATTCTCAAGTGAACAGATCTTACAATACTAGTTGATTTTATACCCGCACTGGGTCAGGTGATAATACAATAAAGGTGAAAACATGGGGGGATACATAAGGGATAAATGTGAGGTAAAACATAGGGGTAACTGCAGAAGGCTTATTGGCCCATACGAGGCAGCTCCTATCTAAACACAAAGATTAATCCAGTGTAATTGGCCTATTATGTTGGACATTGTCTTCTGTGTTGGCATCGATATGTTCTGGTCTTGTCCTTACTCTCATGGTGGGTAGAGTAAATAGTTCCGTGATTTGGGTGTTCATGGTAGGTCGCTCTTTTCTTATGTGAATTGTCTCAAGAATTTGTAATCTTCTTACATCTTGGGTTTTGTCTATTATGCAGGTATTCTTGTTCAACATTTCTCTTGTTAGAGTAATGTCATGGGCTTGTCTCATGTGATTCCTAGGGGCACCGGATTGAAGATGGCATGTCAAACGCCTCGTCAGCTTGGTCGACGTCATACCTATGTACTTACATTGAAGGTTACATCCTTCGTGGGGGCAAGTGTACATGTATACAACGCTTGACTGCTGTAGAGGGTTCTCCGTCGGCTTCGGGCTGTTTTTGATAAGGAGTTCGGAAGTCTTCTTGGTTTTGTAGAATATTATCAGGTTTATGTTTTGGTTAGGAGTAGTGCTTTTTACTCCTTTACGGATTATTTCTTTCATTATTCTTTCCTCTTTTATATGTTCACTGTTCATGGTTGATTTGTAATATAATTTTATTGGAGGTGTTGTGGTTTCTGTTCAAGGTTCTGGATAATACTAACGGTCCAAGTGTCTTCTTATAGCAGCGTTTATTTCCGCGTTGCTATATCCGTTGTTCACCAATACCTGAGTTACTCTTTCAAACTCTCTACTCACGTTGCTCCATTCAGAGCAGTGGGTAAGCGCTCGACGAATATAAGCATTGAGAACACTGGCTTTGTATCTTTGGGGGCACTCACTTCTACCGTTCAGGCATAATCCTATGTTGGTGGGCTTGGTATATACGTTGGTGCTTAAAGAGGTTCCTGTTTTTGTTATCAGTACACCCAGGAATGGCAGACTGTTAT